GACAGCTTGAGGCTCTGTCTCAAAAAAAAAAAACAAACAAAAAAACAAACAAAAGTCAGCTCCCTTTAAAGTGCCTGGCCTCTGACAGTTGCTACTTCTTGTTTCTCTCACATTGTTAGTGTCATTGCCACTCCCTTGACACTCATTCTTTTCACTGTGAGTAGATATATCAGAGATATACCAGTTACTTGTTTTCATGAAGGAATCATTAAGCTTGTCTCACAGTAGCCAATACAAAAACTACCCTGTGAATCAGCAATGAAACATTTTGCAAAACAGGGCCAACAATGATCATAGGAAATTTTATTTTTGAAAACCAAAACTGAAAGAGACCTATAAAGCCAGCATGACACCAGCCTGTGATGTCAGAAGACTTTGTCAAAGAGGCCCACAAGCCAGAAGGACACCAGTCTCACTCCACCTGTGCCACTTTTTCCTAATTCCAACTTCCGTGATTCTTGTTCTTAAACTGCTATAAGAGGGTCATTACAAAAGTGTTGAGATACATAAAAATCAAGAAATGTAAAATCTGCACAGATAGAAACAAATGAAACCCTCCTAGCAACACCGATAGGCCAAGCGAGCTGAAACTTGCACAGGTAAATCAGAAAGGACGCTGTCAAGTGTGTTTCTTGGAAGTGAAATAATGAACCATAATATAATCTACCTCAAAAGTTTTGTAGTGACCTGCTTAGTTGTGTGGTAGCCTTTAAAATAAAAAATCAGATCCCAAAACACCAGACTTGTTTCACTAATAGTCAACCACCCAGACAGCCAAAGGTAAAATATTGTGGTATAGGCCTCTTGACCTGAAAAGACCAGTGGAAGGTTACCAGTGCAGTTACTACTGGTACACCATGATGGGGTGCTCTTTATTATTACCAAAGGCAAGTCAATTTTGCTGAAACTTTCTTTACAGCAAATCACAGAGTTAACATGGTTGGCTGAGTGGACTACAGTGCAAAGAACACTTGGACTCTCTACCATTGACTTGGTTAGAAAGCCATGTAGTTTTAGTGCAGCTACTCAACCTCATCTAAAAAACAATAGACTTTAACCAGATGATGAATAAGGTTCTTCCAAATCTTCATTTTAGTTTTGGTCAATTCCTTCTAAATCTATCTTTCTCTGCTTCAAAGTGTTACATAAGCTGCCTGAGACCCACATTGTTAAAACAGTGACTTGTTTTGCGCTGAGTGGCTGTTAATGTATCTGCTAAATACACTAACTACTCAGCTCTTACTGCTGGATGAAAAGGTTTGATCTGATGGAAAAGTCACAGAGGGTTTAGATTTTTTCATTTACAGAGGATTTATTAGGTAACCTTGGATAATTTTTTTTTTAAAAAATCTTGATTTCCATTTGTGAAATAGAAATAGTAACACAAGGCCTTTAAGACAAGTCCATAGCTTTTAAAAAGGACAAAAGAAAACTCAAAAAAAAAAAAAAAAGAGAGAGAGAGAGAAACACTAAGTCAGTAAGCCAGAGAAATGGAGGCATGTTGTCAAAGAAAACCATTTAACTTCATCTGCCTGGTGGGATCTGGGAAAAAAAAGATATAAAGTAGGTCACGGTTAGTTCCTTGTAAATAATAAAGATGGGCTTCATCTATCTTTCTGAAACTTCTTGAAAATGGGAAGGGCAGTCTAGCAAAGCCGACTGGGGCCTAAAAGGAGTCCAGTGCCCACCATCAGTGAACAGCCTCACAATCCTTTTAACTTCTTTGACCTTCGTTTTTCCTCGAGTAGTAAGCAGGAATAATGGCTTCCCAACATCTACTCCCTCCCTGCAGTTATATCAGAAGACTAAGGAATATGAGGTTCTCAAAGAAAAGAGCTTTACAAATAAATATCTGATTACTAACAGACAGCCATAAAATATGAGGACATTAAAATCAGGAGCAGATTTCCTACAGAAAGTAATCTATAAAAACTGGGCCAACCACACCCACTTACTTCCTAAGTTTCTTTTAGGGAGTACACACACAAAAAATGATAAAGATATTTCCAGTTATTGAATTATAGAGCAGATCCAGGAAATGTTCCTTGGCTCAGTAAATGAATGTATATCCCTCATCTCCACCCACCACGTTCAGCATGGAAGGCTCCTTGCCCCTGTGTGCTTCAGTACATTTCTGCCTTGAATAATTCTTTCTCTTGAAATAGCTCAAATAATAGAGAAAAAAGCTTTTGCTGAGTATAAGCTCTTCCCTCTCTGACACATGCAAAGCATTAAGATGACATCTGCTACAGTTTGAAGGATAGAGCTAAAAGTAGTTACCCAAGCATGGTGACAGCCAAGTGAGGGAAAGCTTGTTACATGAGAAGGGCAACCAATAGCTCATAAGCGAAATACTGTGGGCTGTGCAGACACAACATAAACAGCTCCACTACAGTGAGAGCTAAAGGGCATTAATTCCAAAGAACGGGATTGTGATCATTAAGAGTGAGGCTCCTAGCCTTGTCACCCAGCAAGTTACATAAGCCCATGGATGCTCCTCCCAGTTGTCTTTTCACCAAACTGAAACCAGTAAGTTACATAAAAATCCTAAAAAACCCTGTGGCTTGAAGATTTTTTTTTTTAAAACACAGCTATGAGAAAAAAGGAATTTATAGTATAGACAAGATATAAGGTTTGACATATACTAACTTAAATCACAGCAAATCCTCACTTTCTGACCCCAGAAGAACACCAATGAGAAAGTGACACTGCTCTGGGATAAAGTCAAGGATGGTCTCATTACCCTAAACTTGTAGCAAATGGATTTGCAGCTGCCAGAAAACACTTCTGGATGATAAATGAGAAAGCAACTATCATGAATATGAATTTGGCAAGAATGGAGATAAGATCTAAAGACTGGAAGGGAAATGCAAAATAATACCTTGGTACCCTGGGAAGGAAATGCTTCTTCAAAGTCAGCCAGGATCTGCTGTCCTAACTCAGTCTGTGCGGCCTTCACTCTGTGAGGAAAAGGGACATGTTATCACTTGACATAATTTTCAAATACCCACAAGTGATTATGCACTGATTCCCTAGGGATCAGAACTGTTGACATGTCTGGAGATCATCTGGGCAGGGGACAGGGATGTGTACCTAGGTGACAGAGGTCACACACCAGTTAGCAGCAGGTTTATGACCAGGGCCCATGCATCTAATTTACTCTCAGGATGGAGTTTCTCTATCCCCAAAGTTCTTTTAGGCCACCCCTCACCTGTCATGCATGAGGTAGGATATGTTAATCTTTACAAAATTTCACTGGGGAGTAGTTGATATTGTAGGAAAATGTTATAGAATAACAGATCAAATAGAAATCCATTTTGATAAGGAAGTATCCAATGTACTCAATACTAACATGAAGCCCACACATGAGAAAAACTCAATTCAATTCAAGCTGGGGGGAGGGGGAAGGCAGAAGGGAGATTGGTGGCTCCCACTTAACGGGCACAGTGTGGGCGTATATGGCACACCTCCTGGGAGGGGGACACAGCTACAACAGTGACTATACCTAAGAAACACAGACATTGTAACCTAATTCTTTGTACTCTCAAATCAACCTGATCAACCTGAAATAAAAATAAAAATAAGTGCACAGTTGAATACCAAAATAAATAAATAAATATAAATGTGTGTGCACGCGCACACACACATGCATGTGTGTATAAATCCATTTTGGATTACTGGTGTAAGTGTTCTCCTGATCCTTGGAGCAGAGAATGGGAAGAGGGCTCTAAACTCTTTTCATGGTGGTGTTTTTGTTTTTTCTTAACCCAGAAACTAACAAAATCATAAGTTTTAAAAATAAATGTACAAAAAAAATGTTTTCTAAAGTAAGAAGAAAAAAAGAGTGAAAGGACAAATTAACTACCAATAAAGACTAAAGGCCAGTGAAGGAAGATTTAAGTTCAGAAATTTGTGAAACGAAGATGGAATTCCAGGCAAAACCAGTTAGAATGGGGAAGCCCGGCCTTCACATTAGCTGCATGTATTCTGGGAGCTCTGGACTATTTGTCGGCTTGAAAGTAAGAAGAAGGCTCGGCGCCTGTAGCTCAACCGGCTAAGGCGCCAGCCACGTACACCTAAGGTGGCAGGTTCGAATCCCCAGCCCGGACCCGCCA